GAGCCGAAGGGAGCCAGGACGCCGCTCCTGTTAAGGGCCGCCCTCTCGAAGTGCAGGAGGGTGCTCGCTGGGGCCTCGTCGAAGCCTTTGTTGGTGAGGTCGGGGCGGACCTCACTCAGCCTGAAGGTGTAATCTGACGCTGCGGGCAGGAAAGGGAACGTAGGTAAACGTGGGAGACCGCGAGGGGGCATATAAGAGCGTGGGAGAACGAGAGGGAGCGTAGGTGAGCATAGAGAGAGCATGACGGAGCGTAGGTGAATGCAAGTGAACGTGAGGAAGCTTAGGTGAGCGCGGGAGAACGTGAGGGGGTATAGATGTCTGATGACCAATGACAAGATGACATGATTGTGAAGACAATTACTTAATAAATGCCAGGATGGTGAGGATAATCATTTCATAAATGGCATGATAGTGAAGATAATTACGTAATAAATGGCGAAGAAAATTATTTGATAAATGAGAGAATGGTGAATTAGTTGATAAATGGCAGGATGGTGAACATAATTATGTAATATTTTGTAAAAAGTCGATTTTCACCGTCTCAAGTACATCCTCGCCTAAATAAGAAAAGGAGAAGAAAGAGGGGAAAGAGAAGAAGAAGAAAAAAAAGGAGGAGGACGATGGGGAAGAAGAAGACGAAGTAGAAGAAAGAGAAAATGAAGAAATCAAAAAGAGGAAAAATAAGAAGCTGAAGGAGAAGCATATGGCGAAGAGGAAAGAAAAGAATAGGAGAGGACGAAGGAAATGATGATGAGGATGATGATGAAGGTTCAGAAGAAGAAATAAAAGAGGGAGAAGAAGAAGTAGATGGAGAAGAAGAAAAATAGGAGGGAGAAGAAGGAAAGACATGATATGAATTGTAATAATGATGACAATGATAATGATATTAATGAAAATAACAGTAATGATGATAATCATCATCATCATCATCATCATATAATAATAATAATAATAATGACAATAACAGTAATGATAATAATGATAATAATAATAATGATGATGATAATAATAATAATAATAAAATAATAATAATAAAATGGTAATAATAATAATAATAATAATAGTAATAATAATAATAATAGTAATAACAATAATAATACTAACAATAACAAAAAAAATAAAAAATAAAAAATAATGATAATAGGAACTGAGTAAGGTACCTGAGCCCTCATCATGGTCGTCTCCAGGTGAGGTCCAGACGAGGGTGAGGATGTAGCCACCTTCGTCCTGGCCATATAACTCCGCCACCTGAAGATCAGTCACCTTGCAAGGAGGCAGAATGTCTTCGCCGGGGGCAGGGGGGTCGGACACCTGCGGAGGATTCAGGGGAACAAGGTGAATACAAGGCACGCAAACTCGCTCGCACGCACGCATGGACGAACGCTCGATCGCACGCACACAGACACATGCGCTTACACAATAAAAATGAAAGTTACAATAAAGAAAAACATAAAGAAACAGAGACTGGTGGACTGAAGCCCCGGAGAATATAACTACTGAACCTAGCTACGCGCTGCCAGTTCATACAGATGTTGGAAAATAATGTCGAATGAAGAATTGATGATCGTCCCGTTTGTATAGACTCGTCATCGTAACGTTCGGGTTGCTCTCCATCGAGAGACTCTCAGTAGTCGATGTTAAATGAACACAGAGTTAAAAATAGTTTTTTTTGACTTGGGTCTTACAACTATAGTTCAGTTTAGTCCTTTATTTACCACCCTGGCTAACTGCACAGGCGTGGGTAAGCTGTGGTACATTTAATGTATGGTCATAACATCACATAATGGTATTACATTTGGATATTATCCTATAACATTGTTATGATAAATACTTTATCAGTTCAAGGAAAGGAACAATTGCACAGTCCTTTATCTACTCATCTGCCAAGCCGGCAAATAGTTGGGCGTGGAAAAGCATTAATACATTTGATATGCAGTCAAGTAATATTACATTCCAAATTTAGGATACAACATAAGTATATCTTCTAAGACATCAGATGATATGAAGTAGTTACATAGTTCTCCGTACCTCATGTTAGGTGGTCTGAAAGGCTGTAACACATGGCACTCTGAGATATAATGTACAAGCGTTCGCTTATATTCTTCATTACACAGTTTACACTAGGGTTTCCTGTTTTGGGGATTTTATAGCATCCCGGGATTCCGGGAAAAATCAAGACATTTCCCGGGATCCCGGGATTTCCCGTAGCAGATAATGTTTGCTAATACTCCTTCTCTATCGTAATTCGTAAATGAACCTCAGTAGTACTTTTTTTTTTTTTTTTTTTTTTACAGTAACAGGAGCGACTCAAGGGCACAACAAAAAGGCAGAAAAAAATACGCTGTTACTTACCCTGTGAAAGTGTGAAATAAGTATTTTTAAATGACATAGAGTTTCCTAATACGTATAGAATATGAACTTTTGCATATTACCATATCCATATAGAAGCTTGGCCAGTAGCACTGGCCACCTCCACTGACCCCCATCAAGCCATCTTGCTCCACAAGACTGTAAACTACACAGAAAATGAAACTATGGAATAACCTTTGCATATATTCAATAACATATGTAAAATAATTTGAACACCATATTCCACAAAACCTAAAAAGTGAATAAATAAATAAATAAATAAATAAATAAATGAAAATACTGAAAGTTCCGAAATGCCCTGAAATTAAAGAAGAGTAGATATTATCTGGTATTTTCCCAGTGTATTTGAATAAAGCTAAAGAAAATAAAAAATCCGTAATGCACATACAAAATCATAAAAAGAATATTTGGAATTTAGGCCCAACTTTCCAGACATGGTAAACGAAAAGAGGGAAGTGGGACTTTAAACACCCAATGCTAGAGTATGGAATGGCCTGTAGATTAAAAAAAATCACAGCTGCAAATGCAGTCATACACCCTAAGAATTATTTTTGAAATAACTCTTCAAAAAGCACAAACAGTCAATACTACGATCACTGAGCTTTGATCTTAGTTTGGTAATAAAAAGGCCAGCTGCTGAAAAAGCCCTTTCAGATTCAACTGACGTTGGTGGTACAGAGTTGAGAGCCTGGAACAATTTTTCTAAATTCTGTGTTCTGTCCCCAGTTGCCTCAAATACACTGAATTCCTTCCCGATGTAGTTACATTCACTTCTCTTTTTTGTACTTTGTGTCTGAATCTGATCTATGGCTGCCTGGAGTCTATCAGTGAGTGAGCTTTGTTGATTTACAGATGTTTCCACATTATCACTAGTTGTAGCTTCTTCATCACTTACTTGAAACAGTCTTCCTAACAGCTGTTTAGCTGACTCCACGATGGCAGACTTACAGGGTAAAGCTAATGGTAATCTTTCCTCACAGCTGTTATAAGCCTTACCACAATGCAGGTATTTCATAAGGCCTACGAGAACCGCACTCCTCCTTTCATTTATTCTGCTATAGAGAGAATTTTGCAGCTTCCTTGAAAATGATGACTTTTGTTCATTCAATTCTTTCAACATGAATGAAAACACACCTTCAGCACTAAGAATAGTTGTACCTCTGCATCCCATGTCGTCGCTCGTCAACTGATTCAGCTCATCGCTGTCTCGCTTCCAGCCCAGGCATCTCTCTCTCTCTCTCTCTCTCTCTCTCTCTCTCTCTCTCTCTCTCTCTCTCTCTCTCTCTCTCATACATTTTCGTATTTTTTAGCTGACATAAGAAAAAAATAATAAAAAGAAGTTTCCCGGGAAGGAAACCTTAGTTTACACCTAGTTTCTTCGACATTACAAGCTGTACTGACCTGCCAATACATTCTATATCCAAGCCTGATTCTTGCAGTTACAACATCACACTGTCTTGTTCTTGTTTTATATAAACCATAGACGAATGAATCTTGCCTAATATTACGAATTATAGATTGACATAAGAAACATATAGCTTTATGATTGTGGATTTCATTACAGATGGTAATCTTAAACTTAAAAGTACTTTTAACCATTTCAAACATTTGGTCTTAGCTTTGTTCCACTTCTCAGCACAGTCCCTTCGGTTGCTGTGCCAGATGCACCTGGGGGGCTGGTTGCGTCACTGGACTCGATGTCACAGAGATCCTGGTATTGTTCGTGGCAGCTGTCAGCGCTGACACGCTCACTCTGGTTATCAGCACTGACGGTCTGACATCGATTCTCCTCGTTCGTTTTTTAGCACTAATGACAACACTATTATCATGGCAGTGACAGTCACTTTTAATTATTCCATGTCCTGTCTCAGCGTCGCTATTTCATTAATTAAGTAATTGTTTTGTTCTTTCAGATAAGGATAAGTCCGATATGCGAAGCTGAGCCTCGCCCGGGTTATGGGGGAGCCCGGCCTGTGCCGACTAATGTCGACTCGCTAACAGTGTGTCAGCTGGTGCTGACTCGGATGAGCTTAGTCCTTACCCACCGTGGTGCCTAGCCACAGCAGCAACCTCCAGGCGACAATTGCAACTTCTCGCGCCTGGGCGGGGCGCGAACCGCCGACCCCTCTGATGAGAGGCCGACACGTTACCACTGTACTAGCCCGGAGGCTGTTCTTTCAGAGCTTTCATTTCCTTTAAAAGTTCAAGCACATTTACGTCGCCTTCGACAGCTGGCGCGACGTCACTTCTGTCACATGGTTGTGCGGGGGATTCCCCGGCCTGGCCTGCGGTCACCCCTGCCTGAGGATGAGGGATGGCTGCCTCGGCTGGCTCCCGGGGAGGGAGAGGGGGCGTAGTCTTTAATTCAGAGAGTGTGGCAGCTTTGAGGCCCGAGCCACCCTCTGTGAGGATCAGCATCACCTTGTTTACCTTCTTTTCCAGTTGCGTAACCGTGTCGCGTCTCTGCACCCCCACTCGCCGGCAGCCGCGGGAAATCTCTGCGGCTGGTGACGTCACACAGGGCACGGTCTGGCGCTCCTCCGGCACCCTGGCCGAGGGATGGGTTGGGAGGGCCGCGCTGGTCACTCGCGGTCGGTGCTGGGACCACAGGGGGTAGGGGGTGGGTGTGGGCCAGGGCAGAGAGGCCCGTGCACCCCCAGTGCCAGGCAGTCACACCTGTCATCCCACACCTGAAGCATGATGGGACAAAAACTGGTGCTTCTGCAGTACTCTCTTCTGCTGCACTGCGAGGACACTCCTTGGCAGTATGTTGTTCTCCACATCCTGCGCAGCGCGCCTTGTCCTTGCAGTATTTAGCTACATGGCCACTTCCCATGCAGTTGTAGCAGATGACGGGGGATGCCCTCCACGGCCTCACGTGGTTGGCGGGTATGTACTCCCAAAGAAGTGGTATGTACTTGGAGGTGGTTGCTCTCCTTTCCATATGATGCGAATCCTATCTTTGTGCACTCTTATGGCTTTATGAACTCCGTCGCGTGCATACGCATGTTCAAGATCAAAATCCTTGTTGTAGTGGGTCACAAGATATTCGTCATATTTCTGTTGTTTCCTGGGCTCATCACAAAGTTTGAAGGTAATACCTCCAATTGATCCTTCAATAAGATCGTCAACATAATTTTGCTGAGAGCGCGAGACATACAAATACGGTGAGGAGAGTGTCTCCTCGCACAAGGTTTAGGGGGGTACCCCCTCCCGGGCCCGTGAGTTGTTGCCGAGATTCTTTGGCCATTTCATTTTATCAGATTTCGTAGTGCCTTCAGGGAAGGCGAGGCGAATAAAGTCCTTCTTTGGTGCCAGTGGTGTCCTACCGGCACTGTCGAGCTTTCGTTTTTTTCTTAGTTTTCGACTTCACTAACGTGAAGCCGTCGCTTCCTCCGTCATCGTCGCTCACGTCAGGATCACCTTCAGCACCCGTTCGTTGCGTGGCAATAGATTCTGGGGGGCTATCCACTGAACTACAGACTGAAGCGCATTCTTCAGCCATAGGAGGGGAGGGGCAGTTATCCACCGAGTCCTCCCCCTCAGTGTTTACTTTGCGGTTTCCCCCCATCGGCTCGCCCGCCTCGTGATAGGTGATATATAACGCTCGGCACAACGGGTCTTTTTTCAAATTTCTTTACAAACATAACTATTATCACAGTACTACTCTCATGTCTGAATTGCGGGTACAGTTAAGTTAAGTAAGTTTATTTATCACCCTGGCTATCTGCTCAGGTGTGGGCAATCATGATTACAGCTTTACATATATCTGACACAGTACAGTAGTCTGTGACTACTGTAACTGTACATGGTAATCTAGAAATATGTCATACATCATACAAAAATAATAAGTTGATATGCTTTAGCCACTGTGCTTACATAACACTGTGTTTTTGTTTACGGAAGTTTTTCATCGTAAATTTAGGATATAATACGAGTATATCTTTCACTGTATCAGATGAAATGAAATGTTCACGTAGTTCTTTATACCTCATGTTAGGTGGTCTGAAAGGCTGTATCACATGACATTCCGAGATATAATGCTCAAGCGTTCGCTTGTTTTCTTCGTTACACAGTCTACATTTAGATTCATCTGCACTTCTTGCACCGTGCAGTTGCCAATACATTCTGTAACCTAAACGTATTCTGGCAATAACTACATCATATTGTCTGCTTCGACTTCGGTGCCACCCATAGGAGGGCTTGCTATCTCTATACTGATCGCAGTGCCTTATGGTACAGTTTTCGTCAGATCTACTAGTTCTTCCTTATGAGAACTTTTTAATATATGTGCAACCTTAGCAAGAGGCATCCCAAGATCTATGTTCACAGTATCTTTGCTGCAGGCTTCCTTCGCCAATTTGCCTACGTGGTCGTGCTTGTTTATGCCAACATGAGATGGTATCCATACAAATTGAATGTTGAAATTGCGCTCTTTTGCACAAGTTACGTTACGCTTAATGCAATTTACAATTTCCTCATCGCCACCTGCTTTGAAAAATTTAGTGTCCGAAGAGCACTCTGAGAGTCACAGAAAACTACTCCAGAGCCCCGAGACATTAAGGATAAGTCCGATATGCGAAGCTGAGCCTCGCCCGGGCTATGGGGGGAGCCCGGCCTGTGCCGACTAATGTCGACTCGCTAACAGTGTGTCAGCTGGTGCTGACTCGGGTGAGCTTAGTCCTTACCTACCGTGGTGCCCAGCCACAGTAGCAACCTCTAGGCGACATTTGCAACTTCTCGCGCCTGGGCGGGGCGCGAACCGCCGACCCCTCTGATGAGAGGCCGACACATTACCACTGTACTAGCCCGGAGGCTCCGAGACATTAAGAATTCCGCTGCAAGGAGTATACCTGCCAGCTCCGTTTGTGTAGTGCTGACCCAATTGTGCACTCTCATATTAACTTGATGTTGTAGGAAGCCATTTTTGTATACAGTACAAGCACAACCAGCTTTGTATCCAGACTGTACGGATCCGTCAACGTAACACTCGCATACATCATCGCCCATAGACTCTGTGTGTTCCTTTACCGTTGCTAATGCAATTTGTTTTAACACGCAGTTATGTACACTGTTTTTTGTGGTAGACACGTAAGGTGCACGATCAATTTTGAATATTTCCAAGGTGGAATGGATCGACCCTGTGGTATTTTACTAATTGGGACATTGAGCTTTGTAATGTTCATGGAGATTTTGTGTATTAGAGGGCGCGCGCACGCGTGTGTGTGTGTGTGTGTGTACAGTTTAGTTTAGTTTAGTCCTTTATTTACCACCCTGGCTAACTGCACAGGCGTGGGCAAGCTGTAGTACATTTAATGCATGGTCATAACATTACATAATGGTATTACATTTGGATATTATCCTATAACATTGTTATGATAATAAGTACTTTGTCAATTCAAGGAAGGGAACCAGTTGCACAGTCCTTTAGGTACTCATCTACCACACCGCCATATAGCTTGGGCGTGGAAAAGTATTAAAACATTTGATATGCAGTCATGTGATAATGTGATACTACATTCCAAATTTAGGATACAACATAATTATATCTTCTAAGACATCAGATGATATGAAGTAGTTACATAGTTCTCCGTACCTCATGCTAGGTGGTCTGAAAGGCTGTAGCACATGGCACTCTGAGTACACTTGTGTGTGTACAGGTACTCAAAGGCGGGTTTCATGTCCGTAGAGTTTAGCGGAGCGCTTTTCTTACCTTGAGTGAACTTCCTGAACAGATCCGAGTGAAGTTGCCCGTTGGAGTGGCTGTGTCTGGGTCGTAGGGGACGACGCTGCCACAGCAAGGCTTGGGCTCTGGCCAATTTATCATTTACACAGAGCAAGGCAACCAGTCGATTTCGTGCGGGTTATAGAAAAGGGAAAAAAAAAAACATAAATTAGGTGCTTTCGCTTGACTTACTCCACAAGCGAAGTCTTATCACGGAATCAATGGATCGAAAATTACATCAACTGCGCAAACTCAACTACACAGCATGAACGCACTAATACTTAAATCAGCGGAGCGACGACGCCGACGCCCAGCAGAGGGGAATGTGGGCGGCGGTGGAGGCCCGTTGTTCACACTGGCGCCGGACCCTCCCTTCACCTTTGGCGACAGGGCATGAACATTAGCATATGTATATAGGAGAGAGAGAGAGGGAGAGGGAGAGAGAGAGAGAGAGAGAGGAAGAGATGAAGGTAAGGAGGGAGGGTAGGAGAGAGGGAGGGAGAGGAAGAAAATGAGAGAGAAAGAGAGAGAGAGAGGAAGAGATGAAGGTAGGGAGGGAGGGTGGGAGAGAAAGAGGGAGGGAGGGAGGGAGAGGAAGAAAATGAGAGAAAGAGACAGAGAGGAAGAGATGAAGGTAGGAAGGGAGGGTGGGAGAGAGGGAGGGAGAGAAAGAAAATGAGAGAGAGAGGAAGGGATGAAGGTAGGTAGGTAGGGAAGGAGGGAAAAGAAAGAGGGAGGGAGGGAGAGGATCAAAAGAAGAATATATATATATGTGTGTGTGTGTGAGTGTATGTTTTTTTTGTGTGTGTGTGTGTGCATAAATATAGATGTGCTGTAATTCGCTAGATGGATAGATAAAGAGATAAGTAAAGATATACAAATTATATACATAATAAAAATGCTGAGATCATAACTGGCTTATACCATCTATCACTACGCCTGGTCGAACATATGCCAATTCTGAACCAAAAAGTTTGCTTTCTTTTCGAAAAAAGAAATTGTAGTTGTAGTGGCACCTATAATAAAACCCCAAATACACCATAACACAGAACCGCACTCGTCCTACAGCCTCGGGAAATACAACACGAATCCCTTACGCATATGTGCACCTTGCATGAACTGCAAGAAACTGCAGCACCGTACCAGGGCCTTGATGCTGTAGCGGCCCTCGCCGGCGAAAGTCGTCATGTAGCGGGAGTAGATGCCATCGCCCGCAACCGCGTCAGCTCCTACGCCGTTGTCTAGGAGGTCATATTCCTGCGCGCTCGCCGTCGGGTCTGGGGGCGTGACGTAGGCGCTGCAGAGGAGAGAAGGGGGGGCATTGCGTGGGAAATTGTCTAAAAATGTTTTTTATTGGTTTTAATAACTGTTGTTGTTGATGTCGTTGTTATAATTTTGTTATTTTTGTCATTATTATTATCATTATTATTATCATTACCATTATCATTATTGTTGTTGTTGTTATTATTATTGTTGCTGTTGTTGTAGTCATTTTTATCTGTTATTATCACTACTATCATCATGATGATTATGATCCTCATTATTATAATTATTATTATAATTACTATCATAGTTATGACTATTATTGTTATTATTATTATCATTATCATTACCATTATTATTGTTATCATTATCATTGTTATTTTAATTATTGTTATTATCATTATTTTGATTATCATCGTTATCATTATCCTTATTATCATTTATTATTATCAGTATCACTATTACTATCGTCGTTATCACTATCACTAACCATTATTATCATTACTATTATCCATGCCATCATCATCATAATTAATTTTATTATTACTATGACTAACCATTATCATTATCATTATTTCCACCTATTATTATCATTATAATTACCATTATTATCGTCATCACTACTTTTATTATTATCATTATCAGTAATATAATCATTATCATTACCATTATCATCATTAACAAGAAGAGGGTAAAGGATCATGACACAGTCACTATCACCCTGATTCTTGTTCTCATTGTCATCACCATTATCATCACTATCATAATGATTTTCACCAGTTTCATCATTATCATTATCATTACTAACATCATTATCATTAATATTATCATCACCATCATTTTCATCATCTTCATCATCATCACTGCCATTATCATTATGCCACAAAACATCATCACATCACACTCTCGCTAACACCATCCTCATTGACAATCACATCAGTCTTTCTATCATCATCATCATCACACCCTCACTATCATTGGCAACACATCACTCCTTCACTGTCATCATTATCATCACCGGTACCATCATCATAAAACAATACATTACATCACACCCTCACCATCACCATAACACCACAGCCTTATCATCATCAACACCACCACCAGCATCACCACAATACATCACACCATCACCAGCACCACATTGAATTCCTCACCATCATCACATTACATCACACCCTTATTATCACCATCGCCACAACACAACACATCACACCCTCACCATCACACCATCACCACCACAACTTACACCACATGAGCTCCCCGGAGTGGGCTGTTTCCCTTCATCACTGTGGCTATTATCTTGATGTTCTGGTCCTTGGGACTAACGCCGGTCGCGGGGGCAAGGAACTGGAGGGGGGAGGGGGGTAAGAGGGAAGGATGTCGGGGAAGGAGTTCAGGGGAGAGGGAAGAAGAGGAATAAGGGGCAAGGGGGGAGGGGAGAGTAGTACATAAATTAATGAATTGGTAGAATAAATATATGAATGAATAATAAAAAATATATATGTATACATATATATGCTTATGTAGGTCGTAGATATACATGTATGTATGTATGCATGTATGTATATGTATATATACACACACATATATATATATATATATATGTGTGTGTGTGTGTGTGTGTGTGTGTGTGTGTGTGTGTGTGTGTGTGTGTGAACACGTATATGTGTATAAATTCATATATACACATATACATATATATACACATATGTGTATATACATAATGTATATATATATATGTGTGTATATACATAATGTATATATATACATATATATATATATGTATATACATACACACACATATATACATGTACATGTATAAATATATATGTATATGTTTATTTGTACATATATATGTGGGTATGTAAACAAACACACACACATTATATATATAAATGTGTGTGTGTGTGTGTGCATATGCATATATATATATATATATATATATATATATATATATATATATATATATATATATATATGTATGTATGTATGTATGCAATATATATATATATATATATATATATATATATATATATATATATATATATATACATACATACATACATACATATATATATATATATATATATATATATATATATGTAAATGTGTATATATATGTGTGTGTGTGTGTATATACACACAAATATATATATTTATATATATACATATACCTATATCTATATATATGTGTGTGTATGTGTGGAATTCATGTCGAACAAACTGCAAGCAGAACAACGAAGGGAAGTTCAGGAAAACACACGAATATGCCGAAGGCCTTTTCGCATTTACTGCTTCATCAGGGCAATGCCCTGTACTTCCCTTCATTGTTCTACTTGCACACACACACACACACATATATATACATACACATATATATTCATTTACATGTATATATGTATATATATATATATATATATATATATATATATATATATATATATATATATATATATATATATATATATATATATATATATACATATATATACATATATATATGCATATATATATATATATATATATATATATATATATATATATATATATATATATATATGTATGTGTGTGTTGTGTGTATGTGTATATGTATGTGTACGTACACATGTGTATGTATATGTGTGTGTGTTTGCGCGTGCGTAGGTGTGAGAGTATACACATATATATTTATATATGAACAGTGCCGGTTTTAAGTGAGGGCGAGAGGGGCAATTGCCCCGGGCCCCGCGCTTTTGGGGGCCCCGCGCTCGTCCCTGTTGAATGATCAGAATGCATGTTTGCTTTAGAAAACTGACTCACTAAATTATTCCTACCATAAAAGTAGAAAAAAAGCATTTATATTATGCCTTATTTCTTCAATTTCAAATATGCTTTGAACATTTGTGAGACTTTTTGCTTCTGCAAATTCGAATCTCTAGCTTGGTGCTTTAAGAATTTAGATGTTTCAGACCCAAAGTGGCCATTTCCTTATATAGAGAGAGTTTAAATGCGAAAACAAAATGTTATAAAATCACATGTTTTATGAGATGTATTATAAAGTGTTCATATATGGCATGTACAATAGGTACGAATGTAAATGCACCCTCTCCCCACGAAAGTGTCACTATAGTGGGGCCCGGATGACTTCATATAGATGGGACCCCAGACGACCTAATGTGTCGCATACGGTCCCCAGTTTGAAGATTGTCGAGGAATGAGAGCCCTCAACACGGATAAGCTTTACAACATGTCGTTTTATTAATCAACAATTTTAATATTTGAAAGCATGGGGCCCCCAGAGTTACTCCGGCCACTCAGTGGGTGAGCCGCCACTGATCTCTTTAGGTTTATTTATCTTTGCAGACCCCCAATGGCAAGTCGAGAGCGGGACTTGGGAAGAACATATCTCTCTGGTGCTACAAAGCGGAAGAAAAATAAGGCAGAAGAAGAAGCTCAAAAGAGACAGCAAGGTGCCTTGGATAAATATTTCGCTTCACAAAGTGAGCAAGCTGATTCCGCTCTCACAGGTACAAATGAGGAAATTATAGCCGATGCTCAAATAAGTGAAGTCGCACCGGAGTCTTCATCTGTAGTAGCTGACATCAGTGATCCTGGAAATTGGCCAACAACTTTGAATGATCGGCAAAGGTGTGACATCATAGAAAAGGGGCCAGTCCGTCGGCGTGATCTTAATTATCCTCGCAATAAAGAAGGAAGATGTTTTACGGATCGATATTACAATCGCTTTCTTTGTAATGTAGAAAATGCGGACAGGGAATGGTTAGTCTATTCCATAAACAAAGATGCAGTTTACTGCTTCTGTTGTAAGTTATTTACTGACAAAGTAATGACAACATCGAAGCTCAACCGTGATGGATTATCTGACTGGAAGCATTTGAGTGACAAGTTGTTGGATCACAAAAAAAGTGGCAACCATCTAAAGCCTTTTGTTCAATGGAAAGAGCTTAAACTTCGTCTTTCAGTTTCCAAGACTATAGATGAAGATGCACAGAAAGAGTTGAATGATCTTAAAAATTACTGGAGAAATGTTCTTGAACGCCTGTTTGCTATTACCCACTATTTGGCCTCAAGAAATCTGTCTTTTCGAGGAACTCGTGAAAAACTTTTTCAGCCCAACAATGGCAACTTTTTGGGGCTCGTAGAACTATTGGCCCAATTTGATGTTATCATGGCAGAACACCGGATCATTACTTCAGAAAAAACATGCAGAATGAATTCATCCAAATGCTGGCAGATCATGTCAAAAAAGAAATCATTCAGCGAGTCAAGGACAAGGATGCCCGATACTATGCGGTCATTCTAGACTGCACACAAGATGTTAGTCGTGTGGAGCAAATGTCTCTTGTCGTTCGTTTTGTGGGAAGCAAAGGTGAAGCTGAAGAACATTTTCTTGATTTCATGCCGGTTCATGAAACAACGGGTGAATCGCTGGCAGGAACGTTGCTGCAGAAGGTGGAAGACTTAGGACTTTCTCTGAGTAACTGCAGAGGACAAGGTTACGATAACGGTTCAAATATGCGAGGAAAAAATTGCGGCGTTCAAGCTCGCACTCTGCAACAGAATCCACGAGCCTTCTCTGTGCCATGCGGCTGTCACTCATGGAATCTTGTCTTAGGCGATGCCGCTGCTTCTTCCAACAAAGCTGTTTTATTCTTTGGTACTTTACAAAGAATTTACACCCTTCTATCGGCTTCACCAAGACGATGGAGGCTTTTAACGGATGCTGTTGGATCCGTGGGTCTCACAGTCAAAGCTCTTTCAGAAACCCACTGGGAATGTCGGATAGAAAGTGTGAAGGCTATCCGGTGGCAGCTCCCCAACATTGTTGACGTCCTGCAACAAGTCTCTACCACTCCCGGCGATCCCATGGCACAGAGCGATACATCTTCCCTTTGCACCATTATGCAGTCTTTAGTCTTTGCACCATTCTGCAGTTTATTTTGTCAACTGTCGTGTGGCACGACATTCTATTCAAAGTCAACATCATGAGCTAAACATGGCAAACACCTGGAATCGAGATGGATGTAGCAGTCCAACATATTGATGGCTTCCTTGAATGGATCCAGGATTATCGAGAATATGGTTTCGCTGCTGCAGAAACTACAGCTAAAGAAATTGCCACGAGTATGGATGTTCCTTGCGAATATACGCTTGTTAAAATTCGACGAAAGCGAAGACTGTTTGATTATGAAGGTGAAGATTCCGCAACACATACCCCACGAGAACTGTTCAAAACAGACTATTTCCTACGCATAATTGATTCCATAAGTCAATCTGTGAAGGAACGTTTTGATCTACTGAAAGCATTATTTCGTGGTTTCGAGATTCTCACTAATATCTCTTCGTTGCGCGATGCGAACAGAACTGATGTTCTGACCAATTGCAGAAGACTAGCAAAGGCCTTGTCTCATAATGACAGCACAGACATTGACGGTGAAAGTTTGTGTGATGAGCTGATTTCTCTGTGTTATGTAATCCCCGAAAAATCCTCTGCGACGTTTGTGCTGAAATACGTGATAGATCATTCATTAACAGACGCCTACCCAAACACCTTTGTTGCTCTTCGGGTTTTCCTCACTGCGCCAGTCACAGTTGCTACAGCAGAGTGCAGTTTCTCCCGTCTGAAGCTGATAAAGACATACCTGCGCTCCACCATGTCGCAGGAAAGACTCAGTGGCTTGGCCATTCTTTCAGTTGAAAACGAAATTGCAAGTGCTTTAGACTATTCTAAATTGATAGATGACTTTAGTAAGAGGAAAGCCAGAAAAATAGTTTTGTAAGCTTTACTGAGCTATAGTAGTCTCTCTCTATGCATTGCGAGTGAGCTTTACTTTTATGATTTTTCAACACGGACATGTGGTTACAAAAATATTTTTCTGGATTTCGTAAGCTTTACTAAGCTATAGTAGTCTCTCTCTATGCATTGCGAGTGAGCTTTACTTTTATGATTTTTCATCTTCACGGACATGTAAAATAATGGCGAATATATTTTCAGTTGAAGTTTTTTCTTTAGTTGTAATGACATTTTGATACCGTTTTCGACTATTTTATATTGATCAATTACTTAAGAGGAAAGCTTGAAAAATCATTTATAATTTTGTGAGCTATAGTATAGTCTCTCTCTCTGTGTATATATGCACTGCGAGCGAGCATAACTTTTATCATTTTTGTCCTCATGGACATTATAGTAAAATATATTTTCAGTTAAAATATTTTTTCTTTAGTAATAATGGTATTTTATTGAAAAATAATTTTGTAAGCTGTAGTGATATCTACGCATTGCGAGTGCATATGATTTTTGTAAAGTTATCGTAAATATATTTTCCATGGAAGTAAAATTTGTTTTTTTAGTCAATCTCTTAATAATATAATTTTGCCCTGCAGGCGGCCCCTCGCCCAATTTTTGCCCTGGGCCCCGCAACAGCTAAGGCCGGCCCTGTATATGAACATTCATACAAGGGAGCTTTGAGGAGCACCCATTCCCCGCCCTAAACAAAGGGGTTCTCTTACCTCGACTGTGGTGACGATCGGCGCGTCGTCCGGATCCCGCGGCAGAGCCTGAACTGTTGCTTGTATGTATCTGGACGAATCTTGACTGAGTCTAACTTTCCACTGCCAATACCCTTCCTGAAGAATTGGAATTACCAGGGGGGAAAATGTTGGATGGAAAAGGCAACATAGGTAAAGCTAAAAATAAGAGGAATATATACAAAAAAAAAAAAAAAAAAAAGTGGGGTAGAAATGGAAAGAGAGAAATAAATTTTGAATGAAGAGAAACAGCAGGAGAATCGGACATCTTCATCAGAGAAAGAAAGAAAAAAAAACTGTATAAGAGAACAGATTTCCCAAACTATAAAACTTAAAACGAATGAATTCACCCCTCAATAAATAAATAAAAAATCATAAATATCTTCCGTCTGTTACAAAATCAGATTTGATGTGATTAAAGAATCCCTCCTTATTAAAGCTGGTATGAACGTGAAGAATAAACAAACAAAAATATCCACAGTGCAAATTATATCATAGGCGTTTCGGTGGCAACCCTCCAGCGCTGCGGATGAATGCTGAAGATGAAAGGTATGCTACCGAAACGTCAACTATACTTCCCTCTTTCCTTGCATTCCCCCTTCATCCATGCCCCTGAGATGTGATCCCTGAAGCCCCTGGAGCAGCCCCTTACCTCCGCCTCAGGCACGACGATCGTCCAGACGTTCCCGATGGCGTCATAATCCGCGGCGCCCTGCAGACTCGTGCCGTTGGGTCTGACCAGGGTGGGTCCGCTTAACACGTGGCTCTTTACATCTGCCTTCAAGCGGAAAGTTAGGTTCTTGCCGACGGTGCTGTCGACGAGGAACAAACCTTCGTAGGCCGGGTCCGCTGTCAGGATCTTCGGCGTCTCCTCGACCTGCGGAGGGGGGGGGGGCAGAGCGGACGACGGTGAGGAAGGAGGCGGCGCAGGAGGAGGAGGAAGGACCAGATACGGCACCCAGCCATCAAGTCACTCTTCCAGCCAGTCACCCATTTACCCATTCAGCCAGTCACTCATTCCAGCCAGTCACCCCTTTACCCATTCAGCCAGTCACCCATTTACCCATTTAGCCAGTCACTCATTCCCGCCAGACTCACCTTCAATTATACATACAGATACCCATTCACCCAGACATGCTTTGATCCCCCTTACTCATTCACCCTCATTCACTCCTCCGTCCTTTCACTTCTTCACCCAGTCCCTCCTTCACCCATTAATCCCTTCACCCAGTCCCTCCTTCACCCATTAATCCCTTCACCCAGTCCCTCATTCACCCATTAACCCCTTCACCCAGTCCCTCATTCACCCATTAACCCCTTCACTCAGTCCCTCATTCACCCATTAACCCCTTCGCCCAGTCTCTCATTCATCTATTAACCCATTCACCCAGTCCCTCATTCGCCCATAAACCCCTTCAGCCAGTCCCTCATTCACCCATTAACCCCTTCAGCCAGTCCCTCATTCATCCATTAACCCCTTCACCCATTAACCCCTTCACCCAGTCCCTCATTCATCCATTAACCCCTTCACCCATTAACCTCTTCGATCACTCCCTCCTTCGCCCATTAACCCCTTCACCCAGTCCCTCTTTTATTTATTTATATATATAT